GCTTACACACGAGAATTGCGTACGCGTAAAAAAAGCCTGTGTGTCTGGCGAAAAGCACTGGCCCAGGCTTGCCAAGTTGCTGAGCCAGGCTGACCTCAGGAGCCGAAGCATCTGCGCAGACAAGCAGGAGAAGGGCACTTCCCTGCGGCCGTCTGTGAGAAGCAGAGTGGAAACGGTCGTTTCGGTAAGCTTGGCGCTCTCACAATGGCAGACGAGTGGACGAGGCGCGACGCGAACGTAAAGCACTCTGACACCCGAAAACCCCCTCATAGGAATCGCAAACCCATTTGAACCTTAAAATTGATCAAAAATAGCACAAATCCAAGCAGGCGCTAACGGCGGCGTTAACAAGAAAAGCGGAAGCATCCGCAGAAAAGCAATGAGAAACCAGGAAAAGTAAGGTAAGCAGGAGAAGTCATTGGGAAGCAAGGAAAAGAATTCAACGAAAAACGCAAAATAGCCTGTCGTCGTGCGCCTCAATTGGTCGCTATCGCGCCAATCGTGTCTCCCGCGTTGTTTAAATGCGCGCAAAAAAGGAAGGCTCGCGAGCAAGGCAGACACCAGCGCGCCGCAAGGCTTCGAGGTATATATCATGGCACTTGGTACGCAACTCACGACGGCCGTGGGTTTTTAAGGCGTGAGACCCTCGCAGGGGGCGAACGAGCGCAAGAGGCGCAGTAAAAAGCCGACTGAGGGTTGCCCTCAAAGAGCCTGATGCTCTGGCAGTGGTTGCGGGCATTGCCTCTCGAAGCTCCCCCTTGACTTGGCTGCCGTGGCAGCAATTGATGTGAAGCCATCTGACAGCCACACCCCCTGAGCTCCTGCGCTTCACAACTCTGTGTTTGAGTCTTCCGCCCATGAAGGCAAATTCACGGCTGCCCAGGCCCTGAAGTCGACTCCTTCTGACGGCGTCTCCCAGAGGTCAGCGACTCGTCTTCCCTTCGAGGTTTTGAACCCAGCCTTCCTCCAACTCGCGAGCCTTCATCGAATCAACTCCCTTGATGATGTGGATGAGGTCGTCTGCCACCCTCTTGCCACGGCGCCGATGACAACGATCGGTATCGGAGATAAAGTCCCGCTCAGCTGCGCTGGGCAAGTATAATGTTCACTCCGTCCACCACGCGCTTTGCCTCTGCGGTGCGGTCTTAGAGTGGCACTTGCACAGGGCTTCGGCCCCTGGTCCCTATAGGCAACCAAAACTCCCGACCGCCACAAGCTGGGCCCTCTGCTCTGTTGAGTTCTGCGTAGCCGGCCTTGCTCCTCCTTTGGCTGCTGCGTCGGCTCTCTTGTCCTCCATGCTTGCCTTCCCAACGAGGCGGCGGATGATCTGGGCTCTTGTGAAGTGGGCCGGCGTGAGCCAAGCGCCTTTGGGTTCCACTCTGCTCCCAAGCTGGTTGGAGGTGCGCCAGGTGGGCTCACCCGCGCCAACTGTGGGACGGCGTCTCCTTCTAAACGAGCCTTCTGCTCTGACTTGCTTTTTGGGCCGTCAGACTTGAACCTTCTGACTTCTGCCCTTTCTCTTTCTCTTTTTCTTCTGTTTCTTCTTCTTCTTCCTCCTCTTCTTCCTCTGCCTCTTCTTCTTCCTCTTCCTCTTCCTCTTCTTCTTCTTCTTAATTTCTTCTCCGTCTACTGATCTTTGTGCTCCTCCTTGAGGTTGGTTCACTGCCGGTCGGTCTGTCTCTTCTTCCCTTTTTTAACTATCTTCGTCCTTGTCCGCAACGTCCGCCGCTGGCTCCTTCTGCTCTGCTTGACTTTGAGCTCGGGCCTGAGAGCAGGGCAAGGCCGCTGTTCCCAAGCTTTTTAAATGGCCCTCAGGCCTCGTTTCCCATATATCCTGGATAAACCCTAGCTGATCTTCAACACTCTCCTCCAAAGCAATCATTCTTGCGGGCACAAGATCCGTACTGCTGGGGCTTGATGCTGATGGGGTTTTGGGGTTGCTCCTTTCGATTGCTAATGATTCTTTCAACTTGACGCGTGAGAATGCTTTCCTTATACCCATCCTCACGCAAAGTGTTTTGGAGCTCCCTTGCGCGACAATGGGCATTTACCACAGCATCCTGCTGGACTGCAAATTGAGTCCCTGCAGCAGTCAATTGATCCTGCAGTCGCTGGATCTCTGCAAGGCTTTGATAACCTCTGTTACCGCCTGAGCTTGCGACGCCTGAATCTGGGATCAAAGATAGAAGCATTCCTCATGGTGGAGTCTACCCGCGAACAGGGTTCCAACAAGAAGCTCCAAAGGTAGGCCCAAAAGCTTCAACCATGGGAGTTGTTCTCTCTCAAAAAAAGATCAATGATAGAAGTATTCCTTATGGTGGAATCTACCCGGGAACAGGGTTCCAACAAGACGCCCCAAAGGTAAGCCTCAAAGCTTCAGCAATGGGGTTTGTTGTATCTCAAAAACAATCAGTGAGAGAAGTATCCCTTATGGTGTAGTCTACCCGGGAACAGGATTCCGACAAGAAGCACCAAAATTGGCCCAAAAGCTTCAACAATAGGGCTTGTTCTCTCAAAAAATGATCAATGATAGAAGTATTCCTTATGGTGGAATCTACCCGGGAACAGGGTTCCAACAAGCCTCTCCAAAGCTGGGCCCCAAAGCTTCAACAATGGTTTGCATTCCTTTGGTGTAGTCTATCCGGGAACAGGATTCCAACAAGAAGCCCCAAAGGTAGGCCCCAAGGCTTCAATAATGGGGTTCGTTGTCTTCAAAAAACGACACAAGCAACGCACCAGCAACTATGTTCAAGACGACAGTTGCAGCTTCTGCCCTCACTCCAGCTGCTGGCTCTGCTTTGAAAGTGGACTGATCTTTGGTCTACATTCGCTGGCCGTTGATCCATAGCAACGTTTGTAGTGTTGGTGAGTGATCTTTGATCTTGGTCGATCGTAGATTCTTCACGCAGCATCCTACTGTCTTGCAGTTGGAGTTGGGGGCTCAAGCCTGAGCCTTGGGGTTCCATGGATGGTAAGGGGTCTCCAATGAGGGAAGGCTACCTTGAGTGTAGGAGATTTCTGCCGCTCGTCCTGATCCTTCCCTATCAACTTGGGCGTGACTTCGGAACACGAAGTCCCCCCACTACTTCCCTGGCTCTTTCCTTTGATTGCTTTGTCCTCTTGCCCCCACGTTCACTCCTGGCATCCAAGACTCACAGTCAGACAAGCGAGCCCAGCAGCAGCCCAAAGGCTGCATGCACAAACAGCGCCAAAAAAAAGCAAGGAGAGGCAGCCGCAGAAGAGCTTAGCGCAGCAAACAGCAACGACGCCAAGTATGGCGATCCGGTAGAGAGCGACGGCTGAAGACCAATTGTTTTAGCCACTGGCAGGCCCACCTTTGCACCAGCTTGAGCCAAATGTTTGGCAAGCGGTTGTGTGAGACCTTCAGTTGAAGTGGAATCGAGAAACCATAGTTCTCTTCAAAAACTGTTCCAACGTCCGCCTCTGTATCCAAAGTAGAGGAATTACCCCAAGGATTTTACGTCCAAAGATCTAACGTCCTGTTAAAACAAAAACTGCCTTTCTTGTAGAGGAGAAGACCCTGAAAAACGTGTGCCAAACACGCTCTTGTTGGGACTTTGTGGTAAAGCAACAATGTACAAGGATCCCATTCTAATCTAAGGGCGGTCGATGCGTCAACTTTGTCTACCTTCCTATTTAAAGGTGCGGCACTGCTTGATGTAGTTGGAGCACGCGCAACAGATGGCCGTGGCGTTTTCTGCGTTTGTAACTTTCTTACGTCGTTTTTGCTTCATACATCTTCATACGCACACATGCACTTCAACATGTCATCACAAGCTCACAAACATACACACATGAGGGGGGTGGGGGGGCAATGCCATTCTTGTAATGAAGTATGTAATGATGTTATGGGTTACAGTAAATGGATGGTTACGTTGTGATTGTGGGTTTCTGAGCGGTTTGAGTAAGGTTTCACAGGTTTGCTTTGTGGTTTGATCCTCGATAGGTATCGCACTGCAGTTTTTTCTGTTCGTGGAGTAGATTCCGGACGGTGTCAGTAAGGTTTCACAGTTTTCTGCTGGGCATCGTTTCTTGCCTCTTGGCCCGTGGGTCCCGGAAAACACATGAGGCTCTGCCGATGGCAATCGAGCATGGTGGGGCGAGTGCAATAGATTGGGCATCCCTGTAGAACAGGTGACACACCAGGTGAAGCAGTTCACACCCCCTATCCTCCTGAACCATGGAACCTCTGTGAGCCCTCTTGCAGGTACCCAAACGATTGATAGATCTTGGAGGTCTTTGAAAGAGTTCCTTGCACCTATGTCCGGGATGACCGAAAAAGAATGTACACAAGTTGTTGAATCCGTTGCTGAAGCAAACATGCTTTCAGTGGATGTGGCGTCAGCAAATGTTCGGCAAACCGCCGACTGAATTTTTGGATGAACTTGGAAGACTCTTGAAGACATGAAACATTGCCGAGGTCTAAGTGGTAGTGTTGAACCGTACTTCTAAGGTGTTTTGAAAACTTCTTTCTTCTCCCCAGTCAGGAGCCGTGTTCCAATATGCACTCAGACCTTCCAATGTCTCACGAATAATTAATACAACAAATCGTGTAAAATAGGAGAAAAAACATGCACGGCCATCTATGGCGCGTATACCTATTTATGTTTTGCTATGTTTTCATGGAATTGATTTGAGCAAAATATAGCAGGTAAGAGTTTGTCATTGGCCCACTCTGCTTGCAAGTGTGCTGCATTGTAGATGTTATTAGGACGAGGTTTCTACATAACATTGCCAAGCATCATATGAGGTAAACAGGGATGCAATTCTACTATGATGACATGGGGCTGACACTGGGATGAGGCACCTCACCCTATCTTTGAGTGCTGGAAAATTGCAGCAGTTGTGCCCAAATCCTAATTATTTGATATTATTTGCAAATTGTGGCGGTGCACACATTTGGCGCAGTACAGTGTTTGCTGTGGGGGAAATGAATCAATGCACGTTGCTCCGTCAACAGTCAAACATGCCAGCAATACATGCAACGAGTTTGTGAGATCTTTGAGGGTCTGCATGAATCTCAATCCATTGCCACATCAAAGCGGCGCCAGCACAGACACGCAAATGGACAACGACTCTACCACGCTGTCGCTCCCACAAAGAACCTATTGCAAAACCAAAACAACATCTCTTCCAATCGGGATGAAACTCCATTTGCATCCATTTGCTGTATCGGCTTGTAGGTTTCATCGCGGTTTCCATCTTGCACCCTCCGAAACATCAGCTATCTCTTTCTACATCTTCTGTGGCCTGAGCATTGGCAAGTTTCTTGAACCATGGCTCAGTTTGCAGGAGTGCTGCATTGCCAGGGTGTTGCGCCAAGCCTCTTGGAGTCTCAGACGGAGTCTCTTGAAACTGCATTGGCTTTTTTGCCAACGGTGCAACGCTTCAGACGATTGTGAAAACCTGCTCCACTGCAGCTCTTCACGACTCTGCGACGATTAGAAGTGATCAAGGAAAAACAACGAACATATAACTTTGAAAAAGCTTGAAAAGCATCTTTTATCAAAACTCAGAACCAATAAAGGAGCAACGCTGAGTACCATTGGTCGGCCATACTGAGTGGAGACAAAATAGCACTTTGGACGTTCTTTTGACTTATGAAACTTATGAACAAGTTCAGAGTAACGTGTTGCTTCTTGCCGTCAGTGCATAGTACACTGAACTAGCTCCTCGCTACAAGTCTCCGGGCCGAATCGAACTACATGTGAAACGGTTCAAGGCCTTGGAGAGCACCGGGCATTCCAAGGCAGAGAACTCTGAGGTACAGTATTGGATGAGCACCAATCGTGACGGTAGGTAGTGTGGCATTACTGTAGCATACAGAATCACACAGAGTGAAAGGTAAAAGAAGCCCCACTTGATCACAAGGCCTCTTGAGCAACATCAAGGAGGCTAAAGTGTGAAGACGCTTTCTTGATTCAAGGCACTTGAGCAAATGAGCCTTGTTTCAAAAGCAAATTCGCAAAACGAGGCCGTGGCTAATGCCTGTGACCAGCGCCAGCTAGAGCGACAGTAATGTTATCATTGAAGTCCTCAGACTCAAAACCTCGGACAAAATAACCCAAATTCCATTTAGGAGCAAGTACGCTACTAGGGGATCCTGGCCTTACTACTGGAGCAAGAAGCTACTAGTAACAAAGGGCATCGCTACTAGTAACAATTTGCTTTTTTGGGGGGTAGGCCGTAGAGGTGAGGTGGTGAGGTAGGTAGCTAGTAGAAGCTAGGGAGTCGCTACTAGCTTACTGAAGCGGCGGGGGGAGCTTCGAAGAAGCGGTCCTACTATTTATTTGGTTCCTAGATTCTTAGGGAAACTTATCTAACATTCGTGGTCAGGTAGGCCGCCAAGGCCTGGGCAGGTATGCTACTGAGAGGCGAGAACTAGCTCACTAGTAGCAAAGAGTAGCAAGGAAGCTACAGATTGGAGGCAGAAGGGCTCGGGCCCGGAGGGTGGGAGATGCTTCGCATGGTCGAAACGTTCCTATATATATATATATTATATAGATGTTATTGAAATTCTTGATGTTTGTTGACAAAGGCTTCATGCATGGCAGAAAGCAAGCAATTGTTCGGATGCAACACCTTCAATGAGATCATAAGCAGCCAGCTGAGGTCAAAGTCTTTTTCGCAAACAGCGATTTGCTGCAGCCAGGATGTGAGAACCTTTTTCGCAAGAGCCAGTAGCAGGTTAGTGCATTTGTTGAGCAATCACCAGGCCTGCAACTCTTCAGTCAGGTTCTGGACAGAGGGGTCAGACCTGCGACACACATAATGATCCACTTAGTTTTTGTGCAAGAGTTGGCTGAGGGTATGGCATGAGCTTAATGGTCTTGCAGTAGCTCCCAGCCTCCTGGCGTCGCACTGGACTGAAGCACAATGTGTCGAACCAAACCATGTCCCATGAACCCATTCACCTGCATCCTGTACGTAATGCTTTCCAGAATTCTGCAACTTCACTCAACGGCCAGAGCTTACAAAAGAATTCAGAAGTGTTCAGTTTGCCCATGAAAACTCAAAACTGATACTGCGCAGGATGCTCTCACCGTGCTAACACTCCTGAGGGCAACACCACAGAACCTGGTCACATAAATAATGTGGCTTGACTCCAAGGAGAATAGTATCAGTTCAACATGTGGTGTGGCTTACAAGACCATCACTCTGTAATTTCAAGCAGGTTTAGGATGGAGCAATGGAGCAATGGAGCCTGACTCTGAAAAGTGGTCTACACATCAACGCACCCAGCCTCTTTGGCAGCAAGATGCTCCACTGTGGAATCTCCGACGGATATCACATGCATGGTCCTATAGTTCCGCAACGTGTGCACAAGCGTTTGAGTATTGGCACAAGTGTTGACACAGGGTTTTGCTCTTCAGTGATGTGGATCGCACAGTCCGTGATGAAGGACCATAGAGTTTCCGCAGGCACTTCAGCATAGCCTTACAATCCAAAGTTTATGGGTGTCTTGAGAGCTTGCGCAATTGAGGAAGTTGGTCTCAGGTATTCAATGCGACAGCTTGTGTTTCACACGTGAGTTTTGTGAGACAAAAGCAAGAAATCGCAGTCCTTAGAGCAAAAGTTTTAAACAACCAAACAATCTGTAGAAGGGAGGAACTTGATAGCCGAATGATAAGGTGCCAAGAGGCTTGACTGAACGGCGAAGTAGCTCAACCGGTGTGGCAAGTACACAAGTGAGTGCGGCGATGAGGTATGCAAGTGTTTCATGGCAAGCTCTTGTTGTGTAGGGGCTTTTGTTGATTGGCATGTTTTCCGATCTGTACAATTCATGTCGTTCTGTGATGATTCGCGGCAATGTGCGGGAAGTTGTTGCAGCTATTTTTGCGTGAATTCTGATTTCTGTCATGAGGCTTCTGAGAGGTTTGAATCTCCGGTCGGTTTCTTGCGAACTGCCTGAACATACAACTTCAACGGCAGTGAGATGTACTGCTTGGAGAGCAGCGAGAACCTGCCCCGTCAACACCAGTGAAAACGTACCAATTCCACAGGACAAAACATACCATGCCACTTGCGGTAAAGGCGGTCACCTGATACCTCATACCTCTTAAGCTTCGAGTATTCACTGTAGATGGCTTTTCGTCGTCCTTGGCTGCCGAATTCCTCTGATGTTATGAATGTCCCCAGAAAGTATCAAGAGTCAGTATCGACCTCTTACCAGCGCATTCTACTCTGGAAAGTATTGAGCAAAGAGGACTTGCAGGCACTTCCACCTGAATTCAAGGGTGACCTAGCCGCACTCTTCATTGCAATTGAATCAGGCCTGGACTGGCCCAGGCAAACCAGGCTTTGGACATAACTTGTTATTGTTTGGTCAACTTGGCTTCAGCCAGCACAGCCACTCAATTTCAACAAAGCTTTCCTTACCGAATTTGGGGTTGTCATCGAGCCAGGGGTTTGCTCTTTCAGTTGGAGCCTCATGCGGATGCAGCCATATGAGGGTGGTTTGGCAGGGCTTAGCTTCCCTTGAAGCCTGTAGGAAAACTCATGAACCTTTTGCAACAATATACAGACCTTTACGAACAGCTGAGATGGAGCCTGAGTGATATGGACCTTTATGTCAGTGGGGATTGCATGATTCCACTGCTCAGTCTGGACCTCAGCACTTTGAGGATGCTGCTGGAATTTGCCTGGACACACAGCTTGGCAGCTCAGATTGCCATGCGAAAGGACTTCAGTGATCTTCAAGGGATTGACCATGTTGCTTCTTTTGCCTCCCTGCCAAAGCTCACAAAACCAGAGCGAGAACTGCTGGCTTGTGCGCAAGACGGTACCTTCTTGAATACCTTTAAGGCTTTAAGGCCAAATTTGATGAGTTCAAATCATGTCATTGTCTCCATTGCGGTCAAGAAAACATACTTTCCCATTGTGCTTGCTTTGCAATGTAATGTAAGTATTGTATGATTCTGTTCTAGGTGGATTTCAGGATTGTTGTCAAACTCGTAGCAACTTTTTTTTGCTAGCCTCGCTCATCATGGGCTTGCTTCAACGAATCAACTCTTGGCATAACTTTCTTTAGATCAGCCTTGTTGGGAAGCTGGTCCGGTAGGTACTGGCGATATTGGCACAAGGCAAAAATTTCATGGCAGTTGTGCCCCCCGGGTTGTCCTTTGACACTCGCAGGCCTGGTCTCCGGCCTTTTATCGGGATTCAATTCGACAGCATAACAGAGCGGAACTTTATGGGTCATTGTATCACTGCTGTGGGGCCGAGCTTTTTATTGTGATGCGGACGTGTGGGCTGACTCAGCATATTCATATGTGCTGAGAGGTTGGCGATCCGATCCATCGACACGGCTATGTTTCTGATGGTTCCAATGATGACCTGTGGGATCTTTTTTGCGCAGGTCTGGACCACGCTCACTGGCCGAGTGCATCTGCACAAGACTGATGCACATGAGGACTGGGCCTGTGCCAAATCCTCCGGAACGTTGGCAGGCATATGCTGGTCAGTTTGGGCGATTGCGCTGGGCGGCTGAGTGGCGGCAGCAGTGGGACAGTTTCCCATCAATTTGGAGGCCTAGCTTTTCAGCAATGGGCGAATTTCACCTTTTGGCCCCATGTTTGCTAAACACCGGCATCATGGTTTGCGCAGTTCGATGGGACTGCCACTTCAAGTGCCCTTGCCTCGTATACAAAATTGTTGGACCCAACTTCTGTTCGAGTCTTTGATTTCTCAGTTCGAGTCTTCGTTTGTTTCTTGATTCTGTGGTGGGTGCTCTTGGTCTTGATTTTCCTTGAGGTACTGTGGCACATCCCCATGCAGCCATGCACAAAAGCCTGGCTGCCATGACCCTGCCCTGGCCACGAGATTGTGCGGAGATCACAGTTGAGCAAATTGCAGTTTTCTACGCGGCGATGGCCTCCAACCTAGAGCAATGGCCTCCAATCTAGTAGCTTCTTGCTACTAGTAGTAATGCCAGGAGCTACTAGTAGCGTCCTTGCTACTAGTAGCGATGCTCTTGTTACTACTAGCGATGGCCGGCCCTTGAGGACCCCTGCCGACCTGTCTCGGCATTGGCCCTGACTTCTGAGGCACCCGTGCATCATCGCGTGAAAAAAATATCTTCACCAGGCTTCGGGTGGACTGCAAGAAGTTTCAGAGGTAATGAGAATATGGAGTTGGGGGTCCACAACAGCTGTAGTGCAGTTATAGTTCAGATTTTGAGGTTCGAGCTTTCAAGTTCGGCAACGGCTGTTGTATTGCGCCCAAGAAAAGGTTTCAGGCCAGGCTGGCCAACAGTGGCGGGAAGATCCGGAAAATTCTATTTCAACACGTTTCGGACGTTTCTGTCTGCATCTGGGTTTCAGGTCGGAACGAACAAATTGGAGATTCTAGTTCAAATTATATATATATAAGGTCGTTGCGTTTGTGTGTGTGTGTTTACACCTGGGGTTCATAATTTGGTGTTCTTGGGGTTTTTAGCTACAATGTAAAAGCAGGGGGATCAGGTTTGAAGTCTTTGAAACATCCTTGTTCGGAGCGTTTACACAGTTTACACTTCAAGTTTTGAAGTGTCCTTGGATTGAGACCTGAACATTTGCACTTAAAACCCTTTTTGAAGATCCTACGCTCTGTTTTTTCCCAGGACCCAAGCATACATGTCGTAAATACTTTATTGTGACTGTGTAGTTTGGTCCACTTTTATTGACCAGTACACACCGTCGTGCGGACGGTATTCAGTGGTCCCGAGGCCCAAACATTTCGTTTGGCTATAACGAACATGTCAACTCCTTCCTCCAGCTGAGCCTGAGCGCGACAAAACCGGATAAATGGTGCAGGGTTACAATTCTAAGCAGTCTCTCTTGTGAATTGTAACCGGACGACTTGCACAACGCCCCAAAAAAGGGATACACAGGAATACATCAGAATTTTTGAAAACGTCAAGAACCATAAACATGTTTTACGTCAACGTTTCTTTGTGCAGCAAACCAAGGACAAAACATTGTAGATGTGAGGTCGCGTAATATGTTCTCGAGCATAGAAAATCTCAATCTCAAGTTCCTGCATCCAAGTCACTTGCACAATTCAAAGTCTTTATTCTAAAGCAGACACAACATGTGTTATGCCCGCTACAATCTCAAAAACATGCAAAAAAAGGAAGGGTAGGGTCCGGGCCGTAAAGCCTCACCTTCCTTTTTCATGTTCTTCCAAAAACATGCGCCTGAAAGAGTTTTTCCAAGTCTAAGCCAGGGAGGTACCTGATTCAATTCGTCATCACATAATCACGTAAAGTCAAACTGTCTTGTTTGGACACGATCTCAAAACACCCAGAACTCAAGTCGCTGGCCATCCTGCGGAGTTCTCCACCCATGGACGTTGAGCCAATGTCACAATACTTACGCGGCCAACAACCTGAACAGCAATGAAATGATATTGGCCCGGTTGGTGTTGGCTGTGGCTTGACGCAAATGCATCCCTACAAACTCTAGAATGCATTCAGTGGAAACTACGTTCCCATGCCCATGCCCTCAAACACTGAAGCAAAGCAGGCGCCATATTGAAGTAAGCCATCGGAGCAAGGCCTTCATTACTGGACTTGCCGCGCATATTGTCTGGAACATGGATGTGATTCCAACACACCTTTTGCTGCTGCATGCCAGAGGCAACCCCAAAACTCACTTAGAGCCTGCCTTTTAAAAAGGCCGCGAACTCTCGAGGACGCGTCAATCCTTTCAACTAAGTCTCCTTTTATCCAACAACAAGCTTCCCAACACAAGCTGCTTCACATTTCATCGAAACAAGTCCTGGCAGAGAGTTGCAACGAACATACTCACAGGTTTGGAGACTGCTTTCCCCCCTAGGGAGAGGCATTCAAGGTGTGGAGGCCCTCAAACAAGACTTTTGTTTCACCCCAGACAGCATTGGCAACTTTCATAACAACATGTGTTCCAACACACCTTTTGCTGCTGCACGCCAGAGGCAACGCCGAAGCTGAATTAGAGCAGCCTGCCTCTTTTAAGGACGTGAACTCTTGAGTTCCCAAGCTTGTCAGTTTGTTCGTAGCAACCCTCTGCCGGGAGGATATGTTTCGATGACCTTTCAAGCGCCTTGCTGGGGAGCTTGTTTTGAAACAGGTTCAAACAGGGCGCCGCCTGATGACATGGCCACGTTCGGAAGCCGAGAGGCGGTCTTGGACGTTGGTCGGCCTTACGGGGGCAGCCTTTGTCCAAGGTTGCGTCATATGAAAACGTTTGAAAGAGGCACGTCGCACTTCCCCATCTGAAGGGCCTAAAGCCGGAGCTGTTACGCGCAAGCGACGGCGATGAGGATTGAATCGGCCCTGAAATCGCCGGAGCGCCCTTCCAAATCTTCTCGCGCAGTCTGCGTTTGTGTTCTTTCGACAAAGACATTGAATAACCATGAACGGGCGTTGAAGCAGCGCGCCCCTTTTTTGAACGACATCGTATCGTCAAGCAGGCCAAGCTCCCCTCTGGTCAAGGTCCCGGCAAAAAAAGGTCTCCTCACAACACTGCTGAGGAAGTGAACGACGCAAAGAGAATTTTTAGAGTGATGGGCGGAGCCTCACATGGGCCCTGGAGTTTTCTTCAAAGCCAAAAAAATATTTGGCGCGACAGCCATTGCGTTGTTTACTTTGCCGGTTGCATTAAGAACTGCAGAGCCTATCCGCTTGGCCGCAAACCGGTATCCCGCGACAAAGCCCTGGATCCGCCCCCCACCACAGCCTTGAGGGGCATAGCCCGCTGGATTTGGGGCGGGCTCAACATGTCCCTCAACCAAATACAAGCGGAAACCTAGAGCATTGCGTTCAACTGCAGAAATACAAGCGCAAGTTTCCTAGAACTCACGCAGACACCGCTGTCGGCAACGCGAAATACGAAAATATCAGTATGTCACAAGCCGCTCTTAAGAGATGTGGAAATGGAACGCCGCTGCTATGGCGCGTTGACGTGATCCTCAATGACCCCGCCGGCATTTAAACGCAGGGGCCGGCCAACTTGCTTATCCCCCTTGGTACCGACAGCTAAGGTAGATCCCCAGGATTTTACGTATAAAAATCCTACAAAACCAAGGTGACTTTGTATTTTTTCAATGGTGCCCTAGGTTTTTTTCCCAAGAGGTGCTTGTTATAAAATCCTCTGGACCAACGTGTGTTCAGGGGGTTGGGAACCAAGGAAAAAATAAGGAGTCCGGGCTGATCAAACTCCGGGCTGATCAAACGCGTAATTAATCCTGGGTATCTACCTTAGCTGGTCCCTCCAGTGCCCTCCCAAACGCATACCCTCCAAGCCAAAGGCCTCGTTTTACTGGACTCTATTTTCTGCAAAACTGATAGCAAAAGTTGACCTCCAAAAACTGTTCGTGGAAATGGTGGAAAGCAGGACTTTACTCCGTAAAGAACGTCTTTTACAACGGCAACTACAAGAAGCAAAAGACGTCCTTGACTCAGTGAAAGGCATCTTTTACTTGGCAAATGGTTAAAAGTAAAAGACGTTTTTACTTTATACATATATGGTGCTCTGGTGTTTGCAAAGACATGGCCCGAATTCTCTGTCAGCTACCACTCCAAAAATGCGCCTGTAAATTGTTTATAGTTAAATTGCTTGATTACATGGCCCCATACGCACCACTAGCCACTAGGCGACGTTGTGGCGCCACTAGGGGATTCGGTGACGTTGTGGTTCGAACCCCCCCTGGAAATTCTTTTTTTCGATGGATACAAGCTTCCAGGCTGCAAAAAGCGTGGGCGTGCGCGCATTGGAGCGTAGGCGCTGGTCCCGCTGCAGGGTGTCGTTGCGCTTGAAAGTTTGGTTGCATTGCGCCGCTTCTCTGTGCGTTTCGGAGCTGGGGTACAGCAAGAGGTTGACAAAAACTGTCCACGAAAAGCGTCCTCTCCAGTATCTCTAAAATCTTGTGAAATCCTACAGCTTTAGTAAAATCCTGTAGTCTAACGTGTTTTTGAAATCCTGGCGCCTAACCTTGAGCAAAAGGATTTCAAAAAAACAACATTTCTGGTGTATTTTCCTGGGGTCCTACCTGACTTCCTTATTTTTGATTGTTTTTTCGAAAGTTGTTTTTTCTGAATTCTGGCCGTCTACCCCTAGGATTTCAGTATGGCGCAAGCAAGGGGGATCTTGCTTCCACTTGTTCATCCCTTCACCCGTCAGGTCATCTCCGTCCAGCAGGGGATCTGGAGGCGCGCGGGCATGAGGGGTCCCTTACCTACGCTATACCGTGGATACTTGCAGGCGTATGTTTGAAGTATTCCTTAGGGTTGGGACAAGTATTCCGGGTACGCCTCGCCTTTCAGCAGCCGTCGAAGACATCGTGTCTGATGTTTCACGGGCGCATCTACCAATGGCTATATATTATTCCAAGGGTATCCTCACCAACTTTTGATGATCACCCAGGATTTCATGGTTTTCAAGGTCTCTGAGAGTCTCTCAGCGTTAAAAATATTCCAAAAGCAGCTGAGGGGGAGTATCGTATACCTGCAGGAAAATCCATAAACATAGTCCAAATTAAATATTCCGACAGGGCACCCCCACGCGCGGGCCAGCCCGGAGCTTTGTAACGCGTTCTTTGGCGGGCCCCATCTTTTTCTTTTCTGCCCCTGATCTGCTGACCATGTAGTTCGCCTGCCTCCTGTAATGGCCAAAGGACAGATTGAAGTTGGAGGCAAAATTTGTGGGGATGTCCTGGTTGTCGCAGCCCAACTGCCCCTGTAGTCAATTAAATTCCATTGCCGGCAATCTGATCCCACAAGGTTGTCTGTATCCCTCAAAATGATGGCTGGGATGTCTCCGTGGCTGCCCAGCGCTCGCCCTCTGTGTGTGTGGCCGGTTTAAACTCTCTGCGTCCGGCACTGAACCGGGCAGCTTGCGCTGTACCTTGCTGTCTGGGTGCTCCTCTAGCCTCCCAAGCCTTTCACGCTGACACAGTTTAGGTCAATGGCGGCGACGACGATCTCCTCACCTGGTCGCTTTGAAGCGGTCCCAGCCACGGGTTGTGCTCCCGCTGCTCAACCTTGGTCTCCCTGAGAGCGGGGCTTTTTGGAGTTCTCTCGCCAGCAGGGCAAGCAGGCACCATGAGTCACCTGGCGCCGCCTTATTCCTAAATTTCGTTCCCCGGTTCCAGGTACAGCCTATGAGCCATAAACTGTTAAAAAATATATAAGTACAAAAGATACGACTGGAAAATATAAATTCACCAGTATGTCTTAAAATACACTTTTGACTTTTTTGTTTTGTTCAAAAAATACATCCCTTAAAAAATGCAAAGCTACAAGCAATATTCATGTACATTTGCCCCTTGATACGCATTGATATGGGTGGAATGGGAAGCTGGCCTCCTTATCTTTTGGAGCAGCCTCTCGTGGTTGTCGGGTAGCCTGACCACGTTTCGCTGGTTGTCAAAAGAATTGGCCGGTGGGTTTTGCCGGTTCGCAGTTCGAGGCTGAAAATTTGCACTTTTAAAAATACGAAAAAATACGACCCTTTTTTGGTTCCTTTTTTGGTATTTTCAAAAATACAAAAAATACGAAAACAAAGTTGCATTTAAACATACGACTTTGTATTTTTCAAAAAACAAAGACAAAACAAATACAAAATACAAAAACAAAAAACACAAAAAGAACAGTACAAAAATAAACAATACAAAAGTATGAAAAAATACAAACAAAATACAAAAGCATACAAAAAAATACACAAATGCGACCCGCCAAAAAATACAAAAAATACGACCCGCGACTCAAAATTCAATTGGCTGTGGGTGCTATGTGCATTGTGGCCCTCATTTGAGTATGATTTTTAGGAACCGGGGCCAGGTAGGACGTAGAGCCATGCAAAAAAGTTGCACTTCAGTGTTGTATTTCTAATACTCTCTTGTTGTACTTTTAGCGTTTTTTGGTTTATTAGGACTTCATATTGAGCCCAAGCAGCAATGGTGGGGTCACCACAACTGTCATAAGAAAACATTAGCCTACGTAGTGACAAATGTTTGCCGCGCAAAGACTGATTGGGATGAAAGAACTGTTTGCGAAGCCTTGTCTTGTACTGGTGTTTCTGCTATCGCTATCGGCATCATTGATGCTAATGTTCTGATGTCTTGAGTCAAAATGCTGTTGTGGCAACAGGAGAAGCTACCCCTTTGGCTCTCAACGATTTTATGACTTGCAAAAGGTACGGCAAGGGCACTTTCCTACACAACTTGCCAAACTGCTCTCAACAGCATGAAGCATGAAGGATGGTAGTGATATTGTATGTGCATGCTGCGTACAAATTACATATTATATATTTGATCATAGTTTAATGAATCAAAGCTCTATGCATCCATGCATGAAGCTTGGTCTAAACAAGGAGCCTCCCGAGCGGACAAAAGAATTGACTCGACAATCTGTGCGTGAGCCTCAAAGCACAGAACTCTGTGACTTGGACCGTGACTTGGATTGAACAAAACTCAGGTCACCCACTTTGAGATCAGCATAGTATGGAGATTCACTCGGCAAGGGACCATCCTGCTAGTTGCCGACAGCAGCTAGAAGGAATTCGCATTTTTACATCCAGGCGTTGTACGTGTCCTTGGGGTGGAGAGCCTTGACCACCTCTGTAACGTGGCGCGTCGGAAAGAGTGTGTCATCCTCAGAGCTTAAGAAGCCGTGTGGCCCGGCGTCGCGCGGTGTGGCTGTATCAGAAAAAGCTAACATCAAATTCGAGACAAACGTTGAGAAAGCTACATGGATAGCCCCTCGTTTTGCCAAGGACATATGGACATTCTGGAAGAAAACAAAAGAGGCAATCAGCTCTCAGGCGGTATCCCAATCAAAGATAATCACTGCTGGAACTCCACCTTCACAGCAAAATGATGCAAAATGCAGTGGAAGCTAAAGTACTTCAATAGACAGTCCATCTTCATCTTTTCCAAAGAGAAACATGCTTTGTCATTATGGGGAACCTGCAGGTGCAGGTTCTTCCTGCTCGAACGATTCTGCTTCTTTGATAGCTTCACCTGAGGCTTGGTGCAATGCTTTATTTTGTCAGTTCCATTTTGTCAATGATTCTTGGAAGCGTGCGGGCATCTTGCCCCATGGAAGGAGATGGCTCGCTCCTTTGCAATAGAGATATAGAAACGTTCACATCATGTGCTTCTTTGCTAGTTTCATGTTGAAACTAGTGGGAGCACTGATGTCGCTTTCGCCGCCGACTCAGCATGGCCTTCAAAACAAAAGCAAAAATCGTTAGTGAGAGCATGCTCACCTTCCTGCCATGCGAAGGGTGAAGCTCACATGAGAAATGGCTGCTCAGAGTTCACGCGCCTGTTGCTGCTTCTGAAGTTTCTGATTGAGTTTCCTTGCCGCAGAAGCGACCTTGGCTGATGCAACTGTTTGATTCACATCTAATCTGCGCGTTCCAATTCAATGTGCCTTTTCAATGGCCGCAGCTCTTTGGCGTTCCATTTCCGGGGTCCTAGGACCGAGATGGACTGAGAGACCGACGTCAAAACAAAGGTCGCTGACAAACTCGACACGACGTGTACAATTTTATATGTCAAGGGGTGAACTGTGATTTGGCCAGATCAAGCAAAAAAATAGGATAGGAGACACCAAACTAAATGAGGTAAAGTACATGCAACCAGTTAGCAAAAAGGGCCAATGACTAGGATAGGACTTCATCAAAATCTTGGATTTCTTTCAAGGTCTTGTGCCAAGGGGATAGGACGCCACGAGTGGCAAATTAAGTTATATATACATTATTTGCAGTACAGCACTTTGGACCTCACATCATCAATTCCGCTGCTACCAATACTTACAGCATTTTGGACGCTCCACGGTCACAATTCCGCTGGGATTCACAGCACTTCGGACATCTTATAGCCCACTTGTGCTGCTATTTGCAGCATTTTGATTGGCTATTGCAGCACTTCTAGTCATTCTACTCACATCGTCAACTTTCGCTGCTCGCTGCGATTTACTGCATGTGCCTGTGCCCCATGTTCACTCTTAGCTGGCACTTACGGCGCTTGTCCCGTTGTCAACATCTGCTGTTGTGCAGAGCCATGCACAGCACTTTGGTAGCCAAGTCCAAGTAAATTTGTTTATTCTCTTGTTTGAGGAGCATGTTGACGATATAGTCGTCTTGATGCATCTGTTTAGTGATCAAGAATTGCAGGTTGTGGATGGACTTGATTTGGAGCCCTCTGAGCACGAGGTCCTGCAGATTGACCCTGGTGACTCTCCTGAGTCATCTGATGTTCTGCGATCATATGTGTATGCAAATTTTCCGGTATTTCATTTGCCGGTCTCAGTTTATACTTGGGTTGTCACTATGGGGAGGCCAGTTGAGTCTGCCGCTAGGGTCTGCATACTTCAACAGAAGGGATCCTTTACCAGGATATTCTCTAGAGAATGGGAGGACCGACATGAAGGTGCTATTCTCTCACTCTCTAGAGCAAGGCCAACTATGGAGCCTCTTACACTGCGGGTGCAGCCAATTGATCTAGTGGCGATTCCGAGCAGGGCATTGGACGCGGGCTTTCGTGCATATTTGATCGACCTACTTGGTACTTTCCTCCCGCGGAGGGTTGCTGTTGCGTGTGAAAGGTCAGTTACGTTCGCCTATCTACGAGGGAGGCTTGGAATGACTGAGCTGTGTTCGCAGCCGCATGCAAGATGCTTCCTGGTCCACAGGGATGAGAGAGGCACTCGTATCTGGGAAGGTTTTGACCATGTGCAGGAACCGCACGGTACTGCCTTTCATTTTGTAGTGGAAACCATGAACGAATGTGAAGAGAGGATGGTTGCTCCACGTGATGCGCTCAACAGGGCTGGTGGATCTCGTGGGCTAGACATCCAATTTGGAGATAACACTGCAACTCCTTCAGGTCCCATCTCAGATCAAATGGTCTTGATGCAGCGAGAGTTGTCGTCTCATAGCTCCAGAGTTAATAGCGGAGGCGCCACTTGGGGTTCCCAATCGTCACGGACGCCAGAGAGCTCACAAGCATCGGGTTCTGGTGGAGTAGGAACTGCAGAATCGTATCCATCGACATTGAGGTCAAGAGATCCAATCGATATTAGTTCCGGTGAGCCATCGGCCAACGATGAATTTGAGTTCAATGGAGTGTTTGATTGGGTGCTTACCTGGGCAGCTGTGCGGAGGCATGTCACTTCCTACCATCTGGCGGAGGTCGATCAGCCTATTCCCGAGGACATTCTGGTGCACATTATTCAGCTGCATGAAGGGAGCACAACCCAAGGAGGACATCTTTGTCCAAGCTGGATACTGGATGCCACTCAGCCGCTCTGCATCTTCATTGACTGGGCAGAGGATTGCACTTTTCCATTTGACCAACAGTTCACTCGTGCTTTTCCTATGATGGGAGAGTTGCTGCAAAATACACCGGTTATATTGGTGGTCGATGATCTTCCGATTCATCGTGCAGCCATTCTAGTGGAGGTTATTTTTGCAGACGGAACTGAGATCTATATCTGCGAACCTTACCGGTTTGAGAGGGTGTCTACAATACTGGAGTGGCTCGATGGATTTGTCGAAGTGCGGACACCGATTGACATTTTCTACAATGGTCAGAGAATTACTAGATGGCAGACAATCGAGACTCATCCTGGAGGGCTCTTCCAAGTGCGAGTCATTCCTGAGGATGAGCTGGCAAATCCATTGCCTACTACGCGGACTCCGAATGGTAGTCTTGAGATGCACACACATGATACTTGGGACTCTACTCTCACAGTCGAGCACCAAGCGGAAGAGAGAGGAGGAGCAGGAAATGGTCCAGAGTCGAGCCAGAGGTCTGATGAGCATGAAGAACACACTCTTATGCAGTTCGTTGGGTCCTCTCAGGCTTACTCTCGGAGGTCTGACCCCCTTTTTTCTCTGTCAAGGACCGACAAAAGGTCCTCTCGTATCTTCGGGGATGGTTCCAGGGTTCTGGAACGGTGACCATCTGGGTGCATTCTTTGCCTGCGAATGTGGTGCAGGAATTTCCGAGTGCTTGTGAGTTTGACAAAGTGGAGACCTTCTTTGTGCAATGTGCTGAATACTGGACGATGGTTCCTAGTGCCCGGCTGTCCTTTGTGCCTATTGATCCTCCACCAATCTTTCTTCAACTGCCTCGGCCGCACATATTGGTCATTAGCGGCCTTACAGCTACTGACTGTCCTTTTCTCTGCCAGGTGTTTTCTCAAGGAAGGAGCAATTTGGTCTCAGTTGTTCTTCCAGAGCCGTTTCCACCGACAGATGTGGCCACTCTTTTCGCAGTTGCCATGCCGCAACATGAGTGTATCCATGCAGCCCCTTGTTACGCCCGGTACCGGACTGATCGATACATGTATCGCCATGACATTGAGTTGCATAGGGGTGCGTTTGTGCAGTTATATGAGTTCATTGATGACACTGAGTCCGACACTACTGTTTGTGAAACCAATGACGAGATCTGGACGACTGATACAAGTGACGTAGGGGATGAAGATCACTTGGGGGAACAGTATGGCCTTGCAGTAGGTTTCTGGCAGGAGGGCTTGCGTGTCTCACTTGTGAATGATGAAGAAATGCAAGTCGATGATCTTTCCTACTACGAGCAAGACTTCCGAGAGTATCGGCTTTGGAGAGAGAGGGTACATTCTGCCCTGGTCAATACACAGACATTCAATTTGCATCAGATGTTGGTTGAAGCAAAGGCCTACCATGAGGCTAGAGGAGTTTGGCCGGGACTGGTGGTCTGTCTTGTGCCAAATGATTGGCATAAAGGGACACCAGGAGAGGCCTGCATAAAGGGACACCAGGAGAGGCCTGGATCCTTGACTACGAGTCCTTAGTCGTATGCTTTTGATTCAGAATGGTTCTGCCTCTGCTGCAGGCGACTTTTTCGATCTGCGGCCGCTCAGGCGGTACATTCTTTTAAGGTGCATGGTCGCAAGCAGGCGGCCAGGTACTATGTGACTGGGACGCAGTGTGAGTGTTGTCTCAAGCATTACAATAGCTACGTGAATCTTTTCAACCATGTGAAGAGGTCGACCACTTGTATGGCTGCCTACCTCAGCAAAGCAGTTGTTGTTGACCCTGAACCCGGAGTCAATAGCAGAGTGGCGACAAAGATTCATCGACAAGCTGTTGATCCCTTCTTCCAAGCAGCAGGGCCTGTTGAGCCCCCCAAAGATCAGCTTGGAGGCGATCCGCATTTCCAATCAGAAGCTGCAGATCTTTGGAGGAGATGGACAGAGGCTACTCGGATCGAGGCTGAATCACCTGACATCTGGAGCCTACATCTTCGACAGGCTACTTGCTATACATACTTGACGCTTGGTGAAATTAGACGAGCTTTCCAAGACTGGGTTCTTCAGGTGGATTGGGAAGCTTTTGATCGACCAATCTATTTTCTTGCTGCTCTGGAATCTTTTTTGAAACAATGCTCCTTTTCGTGGCTTACTGGGATGGGTGGAGCGCCATTGGTCACAGCAGAACGAGCTCATGAGTTCTTTGCGAAGCATTCGGTCTCATGTGAGCCCTTCCGCTTTGAGCGATACCGAACACCGGTATACAGGCCAGTAGTGTTCGCTCACCTGTTTTCAGGGCGAAGAGAGTCAGATTTGCAGAGTTGCCTGGAGACTTTAGGACATCTTGCAGTCTCGATCGATATTATATTCCACCCCACCAAAGGGGACTTATGTCGGCCAGAGACATTTGAGCTATTCGTGAGAGCGATGCATGATGGATTCCTAAGCGGCTTCCTAGGGGGGGCCGCCTTGTGAGACCTGGAGCCGTGCTCGGGGGGTGGCCCTCGAAGACGGCACTACCGGACCCCGAATTGTTCGGAGTTTGCGCTATCCCTTTGGAAAGCCGGAACTTACAGCTAGCGAGGATCGCCAAACCTCGTTTGGGAGCCGGCTTTTGGGAGTCACGCTGCGGCTACTTGTCGTTGCATTGATTACTGGCGCGACTGGACTGATGGAGCATCCCGCAGTGGCGAACAGATTTTGTGAAGACGCTGCTTCGTTTTCCACGATGCTTCAAATACAGGGTCTGCCAAGGACATTTTGCTGCACAGGCTGTCAAGCCCACAGATTTGCTCGTTGTGAACGCCACAGAGTCTTGTGAGGAGCTTTTGTTGGCCGCGCGGTCTACGGCACTCCCAAAGAAGGGAGTGATAGGTCTTGATGCTGAGCGCAAGTGGCGCACTGCTCCATTGAAGGAGTATCGGCCACTGTTTTGTGCAGTTTTGGCAAAGATCCTTTCCGAGAGTCAACCCATTGACGGCGAGGTGGCCCCTCAACCAACGGCCTTTCTCGAAGAGATCGAGCCATTGCTGGCGGATTTCAATACGTCAGCAGACATGGGGGAAGACTACGGTAACCGTCGCAAAGCCGATGCATGAATTAGTAATTAGAATAGCGGCTACAGACATTCGTCGACGGCGTGCGCAAGAGTCAAAAATTCTCTTGTTTTGGGGCAAGCTTGCTTGGTTCCTTGTGCCTCACTTTGCGCAAGCTGGAGGTTCAGGGAGGCGCTGCCCCAGACCAGAGGCAAACCAACTATAACAATAACTAACACTTGTCACTTCATCCATGTGCGTCCGTTTGTCCATCCATCCCTCCCTGCGTGCGTGCGTGCTTGTGTCCGTGCTTGCTGCCTTGCTGCCTTGCTCCCTCCTTGCCATTCTTTTCCCTTGCTTGCTCGCTTGCTCGCCTCGTTTTCCCTTGTTTGCTTCTTTCCTCCCTCCATCGCTTTCTGGTTTCCTTGTTCCTCTTTGCTGTCCTTGCTTGCATGCGTGCCTGCTTTCATGCGCTGGGTTTGCTAGGGGTGGTCCGCCAATCTAAAGCAAACAAGCAAAGCAAACCATTACTCATTACCAACCAAAAGAAACTGGAAAAAATGGAAAGGCAGAAGAGCAAAAGAACATTTAAAGAAAAAGACATAAGCAGACAAACTAAAACAAGAAGTACTGTAGCAAATTAAAACAAAAAACACAATTGAACAGCAAGTAGCAAGCGAGAAGAGCTATCATAGCGGGCTAGCAGTTAGGATATTCCCAAATTAAAAACATGCACTTAGAACATTCAAAATCGCATTAGGGTGGGTGTGAAAAGTTTGTAGCTAGAGTATTTTGCAGTTAGAATGTTGCATGGCAAGCCAGTGGATCAACAAACAGATGCTTTTGTATCCGTGACCATCGAGATATCTAAAGTGGTCAAGGGCCAAAGGTTGCGGGTCGGGATATCAATGGTCCTTCAAGGTCAGTTCGGCATATCAATACTCTATCTGCATCCCTATATGTTTATCAATATTCTATCTGCATCTCTAAGGGTGAGAAAAATATGTCTCTCTTTGTAAAGCACTTTATCGAAAACAATCTTCTTGTGAACAGTCAATGACTCAACGTCAGCTTCGAAGGTTCGACCTGCCTTATTGAAGATATTTGCCAAAGTCATGAAACGAAAACATCACCGTTATTGTGCGCGCTTAATACAAATAGCTCATATTAACAAAATAACAATGCTGACTGACTCATACAAAAATTGGTTAACAAAGCGTTCAGTCCTGTCTCCCGACTCTGCTGGATGTTTGGGAGCCGGTGCTCCGTGGCCCGGCTCGAAGAATCTGTTTGTTTCTTCCTTGCCACGCAAATGCGACTCATCTCAATGTCACACGTCATTCATGGCGTGCACGTTCTTGATTCAAAGGAAGACACACACATACACACACACACACACTTAGATCCATGCTCGCAAGAGGTGTGTCAGTTTGGAATTTCCCGTGAAGTTGGCACAGTACGTTACTGAAAGTTAGACCTTGGCTGATGGAACCGAAAGGCGAAAGGGTCCGAAGAACAGAAAATGTTTCAACAAAGCTCAAGACAGATCTAGCAGGTACGTTTACACAAGCACTGCGCGAGCATCTTCGTTGGCCCTCGTCTCACGCAGGATCCGAGAGCCCCCTGCTGGTCTGTAAAATGTTGAAATCACAATGCGTAAGAAACTAATCAATTAAAGTTTGTGTGGTACGGTCAGAAGTCCTTACGAACAGGACGCGACACACACACACAAAAAGCCGAAATCGACGCACCCTGAGTCTGCGAGCATCGCACGCAACCAGGCTGATTTTCCACTCGCGAGTTTGTCTTTTGGACGTAAAAATGGACGCCTGCTTGCGTCTCCAGGCAGTTGGTTGGAAGAATTTGAAGACATGCTGCTTTTGCGACGACATTCACATCCCGACGCTGCTCAGTTTGGCGCCAAGCGTCTGGAATGGGTGGCGTTGGAAATGGAATACTTCGGCCGCTAACGGGTCGCAGCAGTGTAATGGGATCGCCGCGGGGCGTGGTGGCCGGTGGAGGAGTGGTACAAAGTGCAGGCGGTGGCGGTGGAGCGCCGCTGCGTGTGCCTGTGTGAACTGGCGACGCGGTTGCAGGAGCGGGCGGCGGTGGGAATCTGGCGTGGGTGTTGTGGGGGGTGCGGCTTGTGAGGAGCGTTGCTGGTGGCGGTGGTGGTATAGGGATGCAAGGTAGTGCAATGGCGTGGCTCATGGGGCCATAGCTGGTGGCTGTGGGGTATAGTACCCAGAGGTTGTAGTCTGTGCGCTTGTGGATTAATAGTACCAGTACGGATCCATGGTGAGAGATCAGTAAAGCCGCCGGAAATTGCCAAAAATTAAAAAGCATTATTGGCTGTTGATTTCCCCCCTATGGTCTAGTTTTCTACCAACAATCCCCCCCAGTTAATCCGAGCCCACAACCAGGTCAATTTTTCGTATTACTACTACTACTACTACTACTACTACTACTACTACTACTACTACTACTACTACTACTACTACTTACTACTACTTACTACTACTACTTACTGCTACTACTACCACTACTACTACTACTACTACTACTACTACTACTACTACTACTCCTACTCCTACTCCTACTCCTACTGCTGCTGCTGCTGCTGCTGCTGCTGCTACTGCTACTTCTACTGCTACTGCTACACTACTGCTACACTACTGCTACTACTGCTACTGCTACTAGCTATTGCTGCTGCTGCTGCTGCTGCTGCTGTTACTGCTACTGCTCTGCTACTGCTACTGCTACTGCTACTGCTACTGCTACCGCTACTACCACCACCACCACCACCACCATCACCACCTACCACCTACTACCTACTACCTACTACGTGTTTGATGAAATCCTTAAAAATGTCTAGGGCTCAGGGCCTATGAGTGGCCGCATTAAAAAAGTTAAAAACAATCATTTGACAAGCTCACAAAGGGTACCCCTCACAAGGGCCGGTCCCCCATCAATAATCTGCACTACTACCCCTATAAATTTGATCCTGTGTCCCTGGCCTTTTCTCTGCGCTTGTTTAAACTTGTTGTGACTACTACTACCACTACTGCTGCTGCTACTGCGACTACCACTACCACTACTACTGCCGCTGCTGCTCCTACTACTATTATTATTACTACCACACCACTACTACTACGACTACTACCACTACCACTACCTACTACCTACTACCTACTACCTACTGCCTACTACCTACTACCTACTACCTTTACCTACTACCTACTGCCTACTACCTGCTACCTACTACCTACTACCTACTACCTACTACCGAGCGCTTTACACTTCTCCAATGCGGCTTTTCTTGCACTGCAACGCACTCTTATCATTGTCATTACTGATGAGATTACGAGAGAGGGATCCACTTTTACTGCTGACGCGTTCATTCAACCAATGTTTGGCTCTGCCAGCGAGATCATGGCCTCCGCGCCGGGCATCGATGAATCTCCCCAATGATTGCGCCAGAGATACTCCACAGTTTGTGCCTTACGCCCTCCCGGCAGTAGCAAGGCCACCGCCGCCTACAACCCAGAACTCCGGCCGCGCTGGATCTATGCCACTCAATTACACCCCATCCCTCACAAGCCTGATCGAAGCCATGAATCTTTCGCAGCGCACCAGTGCGTGCTCCCTCATCCAGTTCAATTCAGGCGCGCGCTGCTTGACCTTACTCAGTCAGGTCCGTCGCCGCTTGCTCCGTGGCAGCCACCTTTTTACAGTACACCGCATACAGCGCAATTGATCCCCCCGTCCACCATGCTGTTCATTCGCCCCACCCATCCTCTGCACCAGCGGATGTCCACTTGACAGGACCGCGCCGCTACGCCTTTGTTCGGACAGCGCGGCTGACCTCCACCAATCTCGACAACCTCAACCTCCCCGCTCCAGCCAGGCGCGTTCGCCGCCACCATCGCTTCGACGTAGCCTCACTTCCACCTCCACGACGACGACTGCGACTACGATGGCTCCCTGAGCCGATAATTCAGGGGGAGTGGACCTCATGAGTGTTTTCTCATACCTTCTTGACATTGTTGACCTTCCATGTGGGGGGGGGGGGGGTGGTTTTTTATTTGGGGTTTTTCAGTTTAGGAAGGGGGGGGGTGGGGGGGGGGGGGGGGGGGGGGGGGGGGGTGGCGGTGGGGGGGGGGGGGGGGGCGGCGGCGGCGGTGGCGGCGGTGGGGGTGGCGGTGGCGGTGGCGGTGGCGGTGGTGGTGGTGGTGGTTCAGTGAAGATATGATAGATTGCATTGAGAGCACGCGAGGCTTGGCGGAGGTGGTCGGAAGCTTGTTGAAGAAGCGGAGGAACTTGGGAGCGCGAGATTGTGGAGCTGCTGGACATGGCTGCGAAGCGCAAAGGGATGAGTGAAAAACTGCGGTCGGAGCCATGCCAAATGATATAACACACTTGCAAATCTAGGTTCTAATGACACGCCATGGCCATGGATGAGAGAAACTCGCAAAGTCAAGCCAATATGCGCGCAACTGAATTCGCCGCAGAATTGTTACAAGACCCAAAAAATTGACGGCGCCGAAGTGGGGGCATGGCGCGCAGCGGTGGAGGGGGTTGCAAGCTGACCTGCTGGTGGAGGTCCAGGCTGTGGTATCACGCGCCAATGGTGGGAGTGAGCCATGGGAGGATATGTTGGGCGGCTGCCTTGGACTGGCGGCGGTGGATATGCCATTGCTGGGTGACATATGTGTCTGCGGTGGTGGCACGTAGACTGGGATATGGATATGGTTGTGGATGCGCTGGTGGAGGGATAGGTAGACCATGTGGGAAGTTGGTGGATGAGCAATGTATGGCATTGGCATAGTCTGCGGTGAAGTGGCCAGAGGTGGCATTCCATATGGCAAAGCAGTGAGCGGAAAAGAACGACGGCAGTGGGTGAGACGGCTAGTGTTGACTTCGAGCTGTGATTGAAGGCTGGCGTGGCACCGTTGCAGGTGCCTGAAAAGCTCGCATTGAAAATACAAAGTTGGAACACATGTCATTACATTAGCAGCGTGTCATGACATTCTTGAGTATATATAGTAGGCCCTGCAGCATAACGTCAGCGATCTCGACCAGGCAGCTGATCAGTGAAGAAGAATGCAAGACGAGAAGATCTGATGAAAATCCTCCTTGAAGGGTCTATGAGACAGCGCCCAAAGTTGGGTTCACACAGTGCACCGCGGTGCTGTGTCAGTTTGGAATTTCCCCTGGGGTTAGCACAGTACGTTACTGAAAGTTAGACCTTGGCTGATGGAACCGAAAGCGAAAGGGCCCGAAGAACAGAAATGTTTCAACAAAGCTCACATCAGGTGCAAGATGTAAAACAGGGACCAATAGCGTGAGACCCACCAGCTGCACTTATATGCCCAGGCGCGGTCAACGGCAGGTACGTTTACACAAGCACTGCGTGAGCGTCTTCGTTGGCTCTCGTCTCATGCAGGCTCCGAGAGCCCCCTGCTGGTCTGTAAAATGTTGAAATCACAATGCATAAGAAACTAACTAATTAGTTGATGTTTGTGCAGTACGGTCGAAGGTCCTTAGGAACAGGACGTGACAACCACACACACACACACACGTGTTCAGCTTGGCATTTGAGATCGCCCGGTCTCTTACGGCTGCCAAATGATCCGAATGCAAAGCAGAGCTGGAGACAAAAATTGCAAAAAGTTGGTATGAGAATTTGTATCAGAGTGTGGCTCCATTCCAGGCGGAACGTTGAAAACTGGCTCCAGAGTGCTTCAGGGCTCGACAAGGCAACGAACAGGGTTTCCGGGTTCCTTCGGTTCCATCCAAAGTTGTGGAGGGGGCCTTCTCTGATCAAGCTTCCAAGTGTTGACAAAAAGGTGCACTCAGGGTCTGGTTGTAGAAGTAAGAACCCCTATATATATAGCTTTCGGATGCTTTCGGCATCTGTCAGCTAGCTTGGGAAAAGTAGTGCAGTAGTACAGTAGGCCATGACCTTTGTACACGAGTCCCAGAAAATCAAGAAGTCTGCGACATCCTCACTCTGCTCTTTGCTTGACTCTGATGCCCGGCCTTCGCTTCTTTGTTAGCAGCAACAGTGGCTGTATGAATATCAACCTCAGGCTTGGCTTCGGCTTTGCACTTGCTTAAAGCAAGGGAGCTTTCTTTTGCACCTTTGCTGACCTTTCAACTCTTTGCTCGCTTTTCAGTGTGCTGGGCACTAACAGTATCATTTCAAAGGAATGCCATGATGTGATGCACTCTTGTGCTTCGTGCAGTCAAGAGCGTAGAGAGCTGTCCAGCTTTCCGCCTGACAACTGCGAGTTTGAACTCCAACACTGCGAGTTTGTCCCGGCGAGTTCACTTCCACTATTGAAACATTCATAAACATTCCTTTTCAGTTCTCTTCTCTCAACTTCGCCTTGACCTATCAGCCCCTGAAGGTCGTTCAGAACTTAGTTTCTTCCAGAATCTTTCAGACATGATGTCCCACGAGCTGATGAGCTGATACTGATAGACGTGCAATGAAAAAACTGCTGCACAATGACACCAGTAGTTGCGAAAAGGGGCTCTCCATACTCGTCGAAGTCATCATCCTCTGGGAGTTGGTACTCGTCATCCACGGCTACCTGCAAGACCTCCTCTGGGACGGTGATGGATTTAAAGGTTTGCGAACGCCGTCGATCAACTTTTCGTTGATATCCTCGCGCCTTGGCGAACATTGTTGTCAGGATTTGAAGCTGCATCGACCACTTGATTCATAGTCTCAGAGTCCAGCTGCTTCTTCTCTGAGACTCGCCACCTATATAGGTAGTAAACTTTACATCTCTGAACGAATGACAATGAGGCAGAAAAATGCAGTGAACACAACAGACCGCGCCTTTTGCAGGTTGCTGTCTATGCTTGGATAGCCATCTTTGCCGTCAGTGGTGTCACTGCTGTCAGTGCGCTTTGGCAATCGCCGGTTCAGGTTTGGAAGGCTTCTGGCCTTGATGAAGAGCAGCAAAAGAAAGCGCACAGCCCAACACTACAGAGAAATAGCTAGATAAATGGACAGATTGTAGCAGCTGGGAGCCTTCTGCACAGCAAGTCCAGAATCATCCGAATCTTCCTCCTTTGAGCTTGAACTAGAGCTTTGGCAGTCACCTTCGCAAAGGTTAAACATGAATTTGACATTCTATTTGTCTGAACATCAAAAATTGTGAATGAAACGGAAGTGAGGCCATCTCAAGAGTTTGAGAAAACGATCTACAAAGAAGTGAACCGTGGTCTACAAAAAGCGGCAACACTGTCATCCTGCTTTGGATTCTCTGCTGTGGTGCAGTGGTACAAGGAAATGATGACAGCCTTTGTAAGAAGACCAACTTTTCTACTGATGCCTTGCAGCTATTGTCCAAAGCCAGCCTTTGCTATATAAATGGTGACAATAGGCTTTAAACAATCTTTGCAATTCAGACCAACATACGTTGGAGACTGATCTTGAATTCAACTCAATGACCAAAAGGTCGTGCCTGACGAATCGAAGAATGCAACGCTGGGCTGACTCTGGCTCCATGTAGCATGTCGACGAGAGCGGGCCTGCACATGTGCCTATGCAACCACATCTAAACTGGACCCCCGAATCACACTGAACAAGTTAGAAAGACAACCAAAATCACCCTGCACAAGTTAGCAAGTGATATCACTTGCAGCCGAGTCGAGTTCTGGATGTTGGTGGTGGTCGTGAGTCAGGCTGATGCCCAAACATCGTTCCTGGTTTTCTCCAGTAGGGTTTAATTCTTTTCGAAAGCTGGTTTGCCGGTTCATTTCTGTGTCTGTGCCTAGATTCTCCAAACAAGTCTGAAATTCAGATGGTTAAACAACCTGTTGGTTGTCTATGGGCCGATTCAATGCAATGAAATCCAGGTTTTCTCTGTGGGGGTTGCAAAGAATCCTATATATTGGCTTGCGTGAGACAAACCCTAAGACCCTGCCGTGCGTTGCTCTAACACTCTAGGCGCCTGTCTTGGCGCCGAGGGCTGCATGACAGTCCGGCAGTCTCATCATGGGTGAGGCGAAGTTGGTGGTTGCTCGCCAAACACATGGGTTTTGGAAGGCGGTGCTGCTATGTTTGAAGTCATATCAAAATAGTTTTGTTTGTCAAGCGCTTTCAACAGTGGGCAATCTAAACCAACTCTAGTGGCAAATCATGCAGCTTTTGCGTGACAACACTACTTTCGTTCCTGCGTGTGGAAGGCCGAGACTCCTTTTATTAGCTCAGCCATTAAACCGAAAAACCCGGTTTGGGAAAATATGGCTGCAAGCCTGCAAACCCCAGGCGCAAAAAAGGTTTCAGTCAAAGCTGTCGGCACACCACGATTGCATGTTGCATGAGGTGGCTGTGCGTGAGTAAGTGTTAGCCACAAAGCGCGCAACAAATTGCCAATGTCAGTCTTTGGGCCTAATCGCGTCAGATACATGGTTGCACATGCACTGTGTATATGCGTTGTGCTTTGGTTGCTGCGCTATCAAATGCACCACTCCCCACATGTCACAATTGGTAACTTTTTGGGGGTTGTCAAAAACTGGGAACGGTGCCATTTGCATTAACATAAAAATATGATAGCACATGAGCACATGAGTGATCAGCCTCTGTCGAGATGCCGATCCCCGTTTAATTGCCAAACTGAAGCTGACTTCGTGGGTGTTATGTATTTTAGTGTTCTAATGCTGCTGCCAGACTGTCAGGTCCACTCAATTCAATATACACCGTGCCGGTTGACGGTCTGTCAAGCGAGCAAACTTCAAAGAGCTACATTAATTGTAGAGGTGAAGGGCCCCACTAGGGGCCCCAAGTATTTTGGATAGTGTCAAACCTCATCCTAATCTTGCAATTTCCTATCTTCACAGTCACTTCTACAACTGACCTCCAACATCTACTCCATGGTCCGTCCCTCCGGGAGTCCTTCAAGACGCAAGAGCTAGAAAATTGATCTCAAAAGAACTGCTTTAGAGGGTGGCACCACCTCAGAATGGCTTAGCGTTGGCGTGGTAAATGCCTTAATTAACGCTTCGGCTCAATGCGCGAATTACACCAGCGCCGACAAACAACAAGAGTTTGACGTTTTTGCCAAGTCGTCTTGCACTGCCCAACCCCAGTGAGCCAAAAGCATACAGGTAACCGATTCATTCCCGATGGTGAGAAGAACCAAGCCAGTCAAAGGGAGGCAAAGGCAAACAAAGCAGAATCATCCCAGCCCAGCATCCAAGAAGGGCAAGGGAAAATACATAGAAAGAGAAAGACTAAGGGAACTCTCTTGTTGTCATTGATAGTTCCCCAACTCCTCGGCTAAAACGTCAGCGATGTGCTAGCGCTCGTGATTACGGGTCATACAGCTCCCAGATCTAAGCTTCTTCTCCAAGCTGCCTCATACCCATCATTGTGAGAAGCTCCGTACTCTCGACCTTCTTTCCCTCAGGTTTCCTTCCATATCTTCCATCATTCTCTCCATCTTCGCTGGAGAGTCCTTCCTCAAGTTCCCTCGTTGGCCTTGCCCACGTCCTTCCGACGAGCGCATTGCGGTGGCCACAATTGCAGCGCAACTCGGCTTGCCCCTTGCGGCTTCCATCCGTCCTGACCCTGCTGCGCCTTCACCTTCACAGCTCCAGCTCTGTGGAACGCATTTTCACAACAACCCTCCAGACAATCCTCATGTTTGGCGCCGCGTCGAGCTGAAAAGTCATTCTCGTCAATTTCACACAAGATGTTTCTGGTGGATATTGCATCATCAACCACCGCGGCCGCGCCTGGATCTTCCCAACTCCAAAGTCCCTGTCAATTGTCCAACTCCTCATACCGTCAGTTCAGGCAGCTTCTCTGGCTCCACCACGGATCTCAACCGGGTGGCCTTCTCACTGAGCCCTCCTTCTGTAGTAAGTGCAAGGAGCAATTCCGTTTTCGTCAATTCTTTTGCCCTCACAAAACTTACAATATTCTCGACCACCAAGTCGGCACAGGTCGCACGTGTGCACCGATGGTCAGCCAATCTTTTCCACCAGTGGGCCCATTTCATTCCGTTCAAGCTCTCTTGCTGGAAGACGAGTCCAAGCAAGTGCAAAATCTGTGCGCATCTTCTTCTCTTCGTCATCAACGTCCGCGATCATGTGGTTCAGAAAGCCGGAATGACTCACCTTGAAGACCACCAACGGATCAGCTTCCATCAGCCCACCCGCAGCCAATCACAACTGGCTTGACTGCCCGCCGGTCCCAACTCCAGGTTGCGGCCGGTCCATCACTGCCAAAAAACCTCCTTGTTCTTGCGAGGGAAGTCCAAGTAGTCCTGCATTCGCCTGCCCGAACACAGAAGTCGAAGCCGAAGCCCTCGTCTGACTCTAGGCCCTAGGCCTCCAACCTCTGCAACCAGCAAGGCGTTCTGCTGTGCCATCAGCAGAATCATCCTTCTCACATCCCAGCTCGCTGCTCTGCGTCCGTCACCTCAAGGTCGCTTCGCCTCCGACCAAAAACGGTTTTCGGCTCACTTCGCTTTCATCTTCCGGTCGTTGTGCCATGGGAGCCAGCAACCTCTGTCCCGAACATGGCCTTTTCAGAGTCGGTCGCTGCACAAGAGCGTTGGGCTCGTAACCCTTGTACATTCAACGGCCTCTGGCGACCTGTTTGATTTTCAAAGTTGGGCTTTGGTATTCGCTCATGCGAAAGGGTTCAAGGCAATCTTTACATGCTTCCCGATATGGCTATGTTTTGGCCATGATAGTTTCGTGAATCGTGTTCTTGTTTACATTGATGTTGATGTTTTGTTCTTAGTACATTTCAAAATAAACAACAACAGCAGCAGCAGCAGCAACAACAACAACAACCGTCAACAACCACCAAACAACTATCCCGGAAAAAGGCTTGATCATGGATGACTCATCGCAAACCTTTGGAGATCCCGCTTGTGCCAAACAAAACCCACATGAAAGCAGTGGTTTGTACAAATTGTACTCGAAAAACTCTAAAACCTGAGTTTTGAGGGTGTTGGAGGAACATGTCAACAACGTGGTCGGCCCCAACCATGTTTGGGGGACCTGTTCAAGTTTTTGACCAAAAGGTCACTGCATACACATGCAGCAACACCGACACCTTTTCAATTCAAGACTTTGCAGCATCTGAACTTGCTCGGTATTGATTTGGGCAACACTCATACCGGCCGGAGGCCGATTGTGCCTCATCTTGGGGCTGCCTGCTCGCAGTTGTTGTAGCAGGGACTTGCTGAAATTCGAAGCTTGCAGGCTACCAGGTCACCAGACTGTCTCTGGTCTATACACACTATATACTCAAATTCAACGTCGATAAGGTTGGAGGAGCCAAAAAAGACAAACGTGCCAAGCTGCTTGTCATTTTGGCGGAACCACTGCTGCTCCGCCACCCCACAATCCGCTCATCATTGCTATGGGCGGAGACCTGACAAAGCCATTCGATGTAGCACAGGCCACCTCAGGGCTTTGCCGAGCTGGATCAAAAGAGGGCCTTTGTATTGGCAATGGCGCACTCCTCGAGGCATGAGGAGAGCCAGATCTTCTTCTCAGCGGCTGGGCGCTGATGGTTGACTCAACAGCAAAGGAATGCCTTGCAGTTCGGATGCCTGCGCAGCCTTCGTTGAATCCAGGACCCAAGGGCCCCTCTCCACATGCCGCATTGCTACGGTTCTCGTGCAGATGGAAATGACAATGCGGCTGCGGCTGCTGCGGATGCATTTGCTGCTTTTGCTGCTCTTGCTTTAGCAACTGTTGGTGCCGTTGCTGTTGGTGCTGTCGTGGCTGGTCTGTTTTTGGACGTTGCTGCAAAACTTGAGGCTGCAGCCGCTGTGACGGGTAACTTGAAGACTGTTTTTCTTGAGATGGCTTGGGTTTCGGAGGTGACTTTGTCCAAAGGTCTGGGAACTGCGCTTTGCTAAGGAGCGTCAAAAGAGTGCGACTCAAGACTTCCAGTTCATTATTTGCGGCGTTGACCCTTGCAGAGGCAAGGCCAAGATCTTCAAGAGCACTTCGCAACTCGCTCAAGCGCCCAGCCAAGACTCTGTCCAAACCTGACTCAATGCATGATGCCTTCAAGGTCATCCAATTTCCACCAGTCGCAAAGCAATTCATCAAGGACTCCCAAAACATCGACACGTCGCGCCAATAGCGACGCCACGAATCCTGTAAAGCCCGGAACGCACACAAAGTGTGGGTTTGATCCTTTGGACCGGCAGCTTTGGAAGGAAGCAAGGGCGACTGCTCCATGAGAACCTCGCAAGAAGACATCTCAAAACAAACAAACGAAAGTCACGCTGGGATTGGATGGGCCTGGAGAGCTGTTATGCCAAGAGCGTGCAATCTAGCGCCGACCTCACAAATTCTTTAAATCCTTCAAAGTACGGAGAAATTGTCTTTTTCAAATTCACAAGCGTGCATATGCTTCCCATCCAGGAGCGCTGCTGGTACTCAGCTCGTAAAGGTGAACCTCAAAGGTTGCATTGAGATTGCGCACTCGTCGAAGCAAACAGGCTACAGCACCAAGCCTGGCTCCAGCTCCTAAACAGGAAAGAACATGACTTGCCAAATCTTGCCACTATGAAAAGAGCAAAGGAACTTGACTCGAAGCCACCCCCGCCCAATCAAGCTGTTCGAAAGCATCTTGGGTTGCATGCATAATATATATGTATATATTGCTTACTGCAGTCGCTGTTGGCTGTCCGTCGATCTAGCTCTTCAAATGCCGTCGTGGTTCTCATATTGATGTTGGCCCTGTATATAGTTTGCGGCCCTAGTCGTTCATTGATGCTGCCCCTGCGCTTGTCGCTGTAATGACGTGCGAGGGTCCGCACCGGGTCGTGGTAGCACAGATTGCTCTTGGAGGGCCTTCTCGAAATAAATCAATTCCAATCGATCTTTTCTCGGGTGCTCCCTGTGGAAACTCATGACATCCTCTTTTCCCGCCCTTGCAGCTCCATCCTTAAAGACACTAAAACAATTCTTTCAGCAGCGAGGGTTGCAAAAAACAATTCCAAATGGTTTCGTACCCCAACTGCACCCTTTGCACCCCTGACAACAAACCCTAGGCCTAAAAGGT